TCCTCGAGAGCCTGACGAAGCTGATCTTCGGTATATTGAGGCATTATATATAGAAGAAGACATGTGCAAAAGATGAGCCCATTTGGACGCGAATTGAAAATGTTGTGATAAAAGGAGGTTGGGGGTGGGCATTGGGTTGTGGTGGATTTTCGCGTTTTTGTGGGTGCCAGAAACAGGGGGGTGCCAGGAAGTGGGTATGTTGACTTACTCCCCGCCTCACCGTCCCCTTTTGCGGCCCCTCTCAGGGTCTTCCGCCAACTTAGTAAGCTCCGTAGGTTCACCGTAAAAAATACCTCAACATATATTCGTTCTCGTTACTATACAATCTATAGAGGAATCCCCCGGCTGATCTGAATGTCCCCCTTAATCTTGTTGTCGCGTGTTCGTTGTGAAGGGCAAGGAGTGACTAGTGTAGGTGTGGCCTGTCGGTTCATCATCTTCTCAAATACGTTAATTTGATGCTTCGTGACAGTAGAGGGCCAAGACGAACCCTACAAATCCTTCATCATTCGACATTTTGCCGACTGCGCAAGGTAAAATCGTCCTCTACAACAGCATGATTCACTGCCTCGAATATCCACAGTCACTTCGCTCAACTATCGTTGTGCTAGTAAAGAAGTAGACACAGATTAGAATAGATGTTTCTGAAAGTGTCACTCAACCCTGGTGGATAAACCCCATCTCGTTACCATACTTCCGTGATAGACGCCAGAACAGGCATTGGTTTTGCCATGCTCGATGTCACGCAGTTCTTTATTGCCGAAATTCCTCATAAGAGTTTCATTACTATGGAAACTTGCGATATATCCCACGCAAGTGCGATGGTCATGAGCTTTCTAGAGATTATATCAAGTGGCGTGGAGCTGAGGGGAAGCGGACTTCTCTAGATGTGAGAGTCCGCTGCATGCTCCCTCAGAGCACCACTATTTGGATATCCTTGTCTTTCTCTCTTGAAGATCGGCGTCAAGGCTACCAACCCAAATGGTTCCCATGCCTAACCGCCAAGTACAACATTGAGGGACGTCTCTTTCTGACAATTTCACTCAATCAACTTCATTCAGTATCTTCCTATGCATCTTCCACGGATCCTGTACTCGTTTCCTTGCTGGTCTTATGAGGCTGCTTTTTCGATCGCGATCTGACTTTCCGTATGTTATTATTATGCTTCGCGACCCACTGTTCGCAGATGGGCTGATCTCGAGCGTCACGTCGATGAGGTACAACTTCGGAAGGGAAGAGACAAATTAGCCGTCTGCTTTGTGAAATGATGATGTCTAATAATGCGGCGTACCTCTGATTCCGTACCTCCTGATAAGGGTATCCTCATCCTTGAAAGGAACTTTACACCGCTTGAAGTGGGTTACTGCATCTCCTCTGGCAATGGGATCTGTGGAAAAAATGTCGCTGCGACAGTCCTTCTCCGGACAGATCAATATCCAGTGCATAATTGAGCCATCGAGACTGTAAGGGAACACGAAATTATGAGGGTGATGCTTTTCCACAACGCTCACAGTCGCAGTCTTGGCTCCCTCGCTCGTAGGACATCGAGTCGGTTTGGTGTATCGATTATCACGAGAGAGAGGGTCCAAAGTAGTAGATCGAGGGCTGGAGGAAGGGATAGAGTATGATGTCGTGGTAAGTTCCGGCTTGTTTTCGGCATATTTCCAGGCAACTTTGGAGAAACCAGTGACCCTGCTGTGGTAATTTAGCTCTTCGATGTAAATTGGGAATCCTTGTTGGATCTGTGTGGTAATTCGAGCTCTTTCTTTTGGTTCAGAATCGAGAAGAAGTCTCTGAAGAAGGTCTTGCTGAACCAGCTGCCTTTCCTTCTCACAGCGGCTCAATGTTTCCCTGATCAAAATCTGTGCCTGTCTGGAGAAATCTTTTTCCTCTCGTTGAATTTCTCGAGCGATCATGGCTGTTGTTCTTGCAGGAACAATGCCAGCCTCGCCATCATCAGTATCCTCCATGTTGTAGTGACTTGCAGTGAGAGATGATGTTTGATCAGTTGGGAGCACGTGGTAGCGTTGATTCAATCGCGGGGTCAAAGACGAAGATGAGGAAAGGAAAGTGGAATGACGGTCATTTGCAGGAATATGGTCGGATATCAGTTTGAGGAGCGAACCTCCTTACAATGTCAGCACGAGAGGGAGTGCACAGGCTTTTCCCAAGAAGCCTCACCCTGACTATTTTGACCAAGTCTACAACCTTGTGAGAATCTCTCTCACGCCACGAACGTAGTCCGTAAAGGGAAGTACCCACTCGGAGAAACACGGCTGCACCACCATCAGGGAACAGTACATCCGCTCCTTCGCTCTCGGCAACCGTGACTGCAAACTAGGTAATAATGCTGCAGATGGATCTGGGGCGTGCTTATACTTTCCGGGCCTGGGTGTTTGCAAGGGGGGTTGCTAACCGCACCCCTATCATTAGTCCTTCCCCCCCCCCGCCCCCCCCACCCCCCCCCCCCCCCCCCCCCCCCCCCCCCCCCCCCCCCCCCCCCCCCCCCCCCCCCCCTCCCGCCCCTCCACCCCCCCCCCCCCCGCCCCTACCTCCACCACCCCCGCCCCCCCCCCCCCCCACCGCCGCCCCCCCCCCCCCCCCCCCCCCCCCCCCTCCTCCCTCCTTCCACCCTCCTCTTCCAGACACGACCAGGGTGGCTAGCTCACGGTCATCAGCGTCACGGCTTCGTACTGAAGTATTAGAGGGGGTCTTGGGCGCCATGAAAGTAGGCGGTGACGACCTATTCGACGGCAGTACTCTTCGCCCTGATTTACGAAACATGCGTTTGGAGCGTGGATGTCCTGACCTCAGATTTCTTCATCTCTATACGGGCACCCATACTTCGTACAACAATGCTCAAGAAAGCACGGAAAGCAGCGTTAGTCTTCAAATCATTCATGGAGTTCCATTTTGTTCTCTTCCACTGACTCTAGCACGTACACCCAGAATCCTAGGGCTGGATTGGGGAAGCAGTTCGATTCGAGCGAGCGTTATCTCCCGCGACGACAAGAAAGCTCATCCTGTTTGGAACAGAAAGTCAATACCCGGTCACGACGAACGTTATCAAAAGGGCGCATTCAGCTCGGCATTGTATCTCGATGACGTTGGAAAGGTCTACACAGGCGAAGTTATTGACGAGGATCGCGACCCGGTGCCGTCGAAGCATTTCTTTACCAAATCACCACGGACAGGGATTGACGCGATAGATGTCGCCTTGAATAATTTGAAGGCAGACAAACTATGGAACATAGTTCATGATGGTATGGAGGCAATCGTCAAGGCCGTCTTTCTAGAGGTTGAGGACCATTGCAGCGGCAAGAATCCCGAAAAGCAGCCATACTATATCGATGAGATCGGATTATCCTACCCTGCGCACTGGAAGAGCGAGGAACGGTCCAAGTATGAAAGGCTCCTACGGAAAGTTGCTTCCAAAGAATCAGCTTGGATACAGAAGGCCTTCGATGTCAGCTTCCATGCCGAGAGCTTGGCATCGGCACATTGTTTATTCTGGCATCGTGAGCTGATTGACAACATCATCTCACCGGAGCTGGACTCTGCGCTTGTTGTATTCCTGGATTTCGGCGGCTACACAATGGTGATTTTTCTTTATTGCCCCCAATAGTTGAACGAAAGCGGGCTCACAATCTGCAGAATGGATGCATGTTCGATGTGCAAAAAGGCAATGACAGTCATTTGAGTTATCACAGAGTGGGCGAAACCTTTTGTAAGCCACCTTGCCTTCCCCATTCTCCCCTTTTGGGCACGGAAGATGAATCTAAAAACTCTCGCAGCAACGTTTGGGGGAACACAGTTATGGGAGCAGAAGGTCTCCGATTTCTGCCGACAGGAAGTGGAGAAGGACCGAAATGTCGTATTACCGCCTGGACAACGAGCAAGTCTTCTCAAACAGTTCCACCTGGAGATCAAGAGTTTCAGGACAAGTGAGATCGAACCAATGTCTTTGTCTTCGACCAACCCTTATAACCAAAGGGAAAAGTATTCTGTATTTCTGGAGAAAGAACTCGCTGAGAAGTTCTTTAGAGCTGGCTTGGAGGAGCCCATAAAGCTCGCTGAAAAGAAGATAGCTGAAGCGTTTTCACTAAGCTCTACCAGGGTTAGGGTTGTTCTCTCAGGGGGTAGTGGCAAGAATTCTGTTGTACAAGCTCGGCTGGAGTCAGCTTGCAAGAGTCACGACATCCCGGCACCGTACTGCTTCTACGAGGGCTTTGACAGGGACGAGTGAGTAGTCATCATCTTACCCTCTACGTTCTAGCCGTACCAATTTTCACACGAACTGGCAGTTCATGGAACATCTCCAAGGGAGCGGCGTTTGCAACGGCGAATATCAAGTCGGTTCAGGAGGTCATAGCAAACGGCGCGGCGTTTGGCTTCCAACGGTCAAGTTCAGTCGCCGCGAAAGGCTCCAAACGCTCCAAAAAGCCCGGAAGCGCATGGGAAGAACAGATTCAGGTCTCTTTCGACTCGGTAAGCATTTCGACTCACATCTATGTGCCATATTTCTTTGAAGGTAGTAGGTTTACATACTAACCTGAGACGCGTAACTACAGCATGGGTCGCGTTCCTGCAAGAAGTGGTACAGTGGTAAAATGAGAGTCAGAATCATTTGCGATCCTTTCTTGCAGCTGCATGGAAGCCAAAAGTACCTCCGTTTTGCTTCCTGCTGCGATATTGTGGAGCTTCCGCAACCCTCCAAAGGCTACTGGCAGTTCAATCTTCGTTTTGAATGCGCTGACGATGATGCACGTCTAATTGTCGAGAGAAGTTACATGGGCCATGACGGTGATAAGATCAAATACCAAATGCCGATCTTAAAGCTACCGTTGTACTATGACCCATCGTACTGTTGCTGTCTTGTCAAATCTGATGTGGACGATGAAGGCTATGGCCTTCTGGTCACAGAAGCAGGACAGATAGTGGCTTGTCCAAAAGAACCAAGACTAAGCGATCTTCAACCAGGAGGAGGGTCACATCTTGAAAATGCTTCAGACAATCGAAAGCGAAAGCGGCGGGCAACCCCAGAGCACGTCAGAGGCAATCTCAAGAGAACGTCGAGCTTCAAACCTTCTGGGCATCTTCCTGAACTCAGTATGTCTGACTGTTTGTCAAGGTCTAAAGGCGCAAAGGCGCCTTCGAGGTATGGGGCATCTGGAAGTCTACGCGCCCCTTCGGACTCAGTGGAGGAGACGATCAACGTGGCAAACAGCGAGTCTGGAAGGTCTGTGCTTTCATCATCACCGGAGACATCGACTCCTTATCAACCTTCAGTTGGAGGAAAACATATGAGAAGTCGCCACTTTTGGAAGCAATGGTTCACTATCGACCCTGAGGACGCGCTTCGGGAGCAGGATGAGCAGCCGGTCTTACTATCTCCATGAGCATGGCCTTGTGCCTTGATCTTGCATGAGAATAGATTCTCCGATATTAGTGTACACTTCAGGAGGGCAAGCGCACGGTTGACATGATGGGTCAACGAAGTGGTGTTTGTTGCTTCGTATGGAGGTGGAAGTAGGAAAATTCGCCAACCTCCTTCCCTAAGTCAGAGGGTGGTATCATGTAAGTGGAAGGGCCGTTTGCATGGCCCTGGCCGCCTTGCAGGCCCGCCTTCCCTGCCACTACCTAGAATTCAATATGAGCCTTCCAGACACCAAGTCTTTGCACTTTTACACATCGAAGACTTGTGATCTGCTCACATGATGTGAATAAGCACCTGGAAGCCAGATTTTAGGCACAAACACATTTTCTGGATTCATTAGCACATCATAAGACATATCCGTTGCCGTCATGTGAAGGAGCGGAGTGCTGGTGCGATGGACCGTCTGATGATATACTGACCAACATGTGTGTGGAAGAAAGAAAAGGGAAGAGATGGATGTGGGCAAGTGGCTTTAGCAACAAGTCAGCTAGCACAGAACAACGCAAGCGATCAGCCACACTTTTGCCGTGTTGCCCGAATGACTCTCAAGGTTGACATTGCAAGTACTGCAGCATTAAGTGCATGCCCAGTGATCAAAATCATATGATGCGAGAGAGCGCCACGCTACTGTGAGATATAAGGCCATGGAGAGTGAAAATTTGAAGCGTAACACGGCAAAATGACGTGGGCTCGGTTTTGGGCAGCACTATTGCTTCCCGGTGAACAATTGCCAAATGTTGCCTCGGGGTATCTAATCAGCTGAAGGGTATCTCTAGTGTCTCGACCCTGCTGCCAGACGTCGACGGAAACTTGAATTCAAAAAACGTTTGCAGACCATAGCCGATGCACACCTCTACGTATCACCTCCATTCAGTCGGTTCCAATGCCCCTCGTCACGGGGAGGTTTTCATGCTTCACACCGCTTCGAATCCCCTGTATGCTCTATCACTGAGTTCTGTTGTTTCTCTTCCCATCTTGGAAAGTCTTGCGACTGCTCAACAACTATCCACCTACCTGGCCAAATGCCTCAACTGTCAATACCAGGTTTGGTATCTCAGGGGTGTGGCCAAGGTTACTGTCATTCTGGACCACAATGAAATGAAGGCTCGAAGCAGGCTAGAAGATACCTCAACGGCAAAACTCTCGCCTTTGATGCTTTGGTTCCTCAGCCACAAACTTTGCTTATTTACCTGCGTCAGGTTCGCTTGAGAGAAATAGTGGACCTGCAGGCAAATTTGTCTTACCTGAAGATAGCCTGCTAATGTCGAACTATCTTCCCTCGCGTCCCGGAGGATACGCACACGGTTAGACGGTAGGGGGTACAGAAATTTCTCACTAAGCTTCATGCCTTCCACACGCCATCAATGTGTCGCGAGGGAGACGGAGGGGCTTGGTTCGTGACGCTATCATACCTACTTTACATACACAGATTAGCTTCCTCATTTCCCCTTCAGGATGCCCATGCAGAGTCATCGTTTGGCTCAAAGACATATGGGGCTGGGTCACATTCGCGTCGCCCTGTATACACCTAGTTTCAATGGGTAGCTTACACGTTCCAGGAGTACGTGTGGAGTTGTGAACATTTTTGTCACGGAAATCCATCTCGTAACAGGAACTTGAAACCTCTTGAAGATAAGAAGTAAGCTAATCCCAAGTCCCACGCCGCGAGCATCAACAGTCCCGTGTGATACATTTACCGGCATCTGGGAATATGTCAAGTAGTTTGATAGTCTGCCCAGAAGAACTCTCTATTCTCGCCCTATGAACAGTCATAGGCAAAGTCGATCTGGTGAAAGTGGAAGATGCGATTGAGCCTCATCTTTTCTTGAGGTACAGTGAGCCTGACTGCGGATAATTATCGGCTGGATGTGTGTCTCCGAGCTTCGGACACTTGACTGCAATCGAAATAACACCGGCTCATGGAGTTACGTACCGCTTGTGAATAATTGAGTCTCTGTTAATGCCGCATGGCCTAGCTAGGTACTAGGTGTACTGATTGCCACGGTCCGCCCGTCTTGACATGAGAGCACTTCGATCCCACACCCGTGTCATAGCCACACCCCTGCCATGATGCAAAATTACAAATCGCGCCTAGACTCACGAGAAACCTGATTACAAGTTGAAGGTACATGTAGATGGGGGGGTACTCCTACTAGTCCTGTTGGGTGCCCTCAGACGTGCTGTGTAGGCATTTGATTCTGTTACGGGCCGCGTACCAGCACCTCAGCCGTGATTCCTGGTATATGTACACCTCAGAGACATGGGGAGCTGAATTGAGGCATCTTTCGACTGGGAACATCACCCACTGAGCAGGTATGTCAGTCACCGCTGTTGCCCGAATGATCGAACCAGATCATTACAGCTCCCAAGACAGAAACCTTGTACGCCACGTCTTGGGGAATCTTTCGGTTCACGTGCATGCCAAACGAGTCCAGAGAAAAGAATCACTCATTGCGCAGCATCACTTTACTTCAACACTGTAAGGTCTTTTTCAAACCAGTCAACGTCGCCGAAACATGTCCCGAACTCCATGAATTTCAATCAGGACTCCAAAACGCTCGAGTAAGGTACGTGGTAATGACACGTAATGACACGGGCAACCGCTTGGTTCGATTGCTGCCCTACTGTTGTCACAGCGAGAATCATGTGAAGCTGTCCATGAGCTGTACAGGGTCATGTTAGCTTTGACACATGACGGAGCAGGTGTTCCTTGCCTCTAGCTTGAAGGAATGGTTTGCGACTCACCGCACTTTCCCTACCTACCTGCAGTAGATGATGACCGAAATGAGTAACCTCCTCGGCAATCGGAAAATTGTTCAATGTGCTGCAAACGGCAATGAACGACAATTGTTTCGTCACATTGGGTCAAAAGAAAAAAGAGTGAAGACTTCTCATTGCAGCAAATAGTTGGGTCTTGCTTGTTAAGTTGTTAGTAGATTTTGGATCGGAGCACTAGATTGTACTTCTTGCGTAGGCTTCACTCAGCTTCGTCGACCGATATTACCATGTTTCAGTTCAATAGCTCTGATCGCGTCTTTGTTTCTACATTCAATGCTAAGTTCACCCCTTCTGCTAGCCAAGTGATCTACAGTATGGTAGTTCTGCAACTACGCCCACCTCTCTCTCTTGGTAATCCAAAGGCATGTGACGGCTTTTTTAAATGAGTAAGGACCTATTATGCAGGCTCAAGGGCCGGTCATGGCCACTTAGCTCGTCTTTGGCGTGGGTTTCCCACGGAAGCCATGCAAAGGGGAGTTGTTTCCCTCAACGTTCCCTCAACGTTCCCGGGCATCCTGATTCTGACGCGATCTTCGGACAGGCCGGAAGATGTGCTGCGCCACGTATTGTCTAATAGAAAGGAGTCAAGTTATCATCATGCTCCTTGAACATCGCAGCATATGGATGTTTACGTAGCAGAGTCGCAGCATTACTCTCTGGAAGCGACATCGCCAAATCTTTCTCCCAAAGATCGAAGCTGCGGCTGACCCTTATACTGAGCTAACGAATTGAGGATCCAGCGGGGCCACCTCCTCTCAGAGTTCCTGCCAATAACACCATCATTTCCAACTTTGTCCATGGCCCTGACGAAGAGGGGCACCAACCCGATTGAAAACTCTTCAAGTCGCTGGTGGCAGGAGGTCGCCCTAAAGATCGCTTCACGTCTGGTTGTACTGCCTCTGCGATTGATTACAAAACCTGATGTCAGCCGTATGTCGCCCGTTCTTGTGGCTCTTGCTGCTTCCGTGATTAACTCATCCTGTGCCAACTTCCCCAAAGGAGTCGGGACTTGCTTGTCTGTCGCCTTACTGCCCCAGTCACTTTATACGGAATCACTGTGTAGGCGTGATTTGTACTTGCACTGTTCTAAGCAGCCATCGCTTCCACTAAGCCTTGATTGAGACCCCATTTTGGTTCCACCGGGCCTGAGCTTTTCCAAAGCAACGTGACGTGTGCAGAGACAAACCACCAAAGTCTAAGGTACATGACAAGCCAAGTGCTTTGCTTCGAAGAGTCTCAGCTCAAGTGATCACGACATTAATATACACTGTCTGAATACCTTCATATTCCATCAACTTGTTCACCCCTGGTTTATCAAGATTAGACTTCTTGCATCTATCATTTAGAATTCGGAAGCTTTGGAAACTAACCCTGCGAGTGGTAGGTCTAGGCCGATGAGCCTTGCATTCTTTTCGAGCCTCCCTGGCTTGTAGAGCGGCGGTAAGCTCGACCTTTTGGTTGTATTCTTCAACCCATGCCCCAGAAACCTTCACGTGAGGACTTCGTTGTTGCTCAACTATGATCCTCGGTGTCAGTAGATGATATGCTCGTTCAACTCAGGGCGATGTGCGAGTTGAGATCTCGGGTAAGCCTACGTCGGCGTGCGAAACGTCTGACAATGTCTGCATCATCCTGGAATGCGACGCCACATTTCTTGAAGTGTTCAGCAGCTAACCCGGTCAGAAACGGCTCATTTGAGAACGCAAAGCCACAGCCAGAAGATGCATTTGGACAGATCAAGATGTAGTAGTCTCTGCCGAAGCCTAGGTCGTAAGAAAATGCCCAGCTCGGCCTCTGTTGGAGCGTTCTTGTTGCAACAGATGTCTTGATGACCGACGCAATACGTGATGGTTCGTTGTCTAAAGTCGAACGGCCGTCGGCGAGACCCAGCTCTTCTGGGCGAAGCGCCTCCTACAATCTACAGTTAGATTCGTCGAACGTCAGGCAGCTTGGAATCAGGTGCGAAGGATCACCTCTAGCAATAATCCAGTATTGAGCTTGCTAAACCAGCTAGCTGCCTCATCCTGTGGTGCAGTAATGGGTTCACTCGTGAATGAGATACCGCTGGATTTTCCTTGGCAATACCGGACAGATTGAACGTAGCATTCGAATTCGTTTTCCAGTTGACCCTTAAGCGTCTGAAAGTCTCCGGAGTAAGTTAGCGAAGTTTTGACCAAGAAGAGATCAAGCAAAGCCTTTCGATCGTTCTCATGAGCCTCTACGAGGTGATTCAGCCTTTGCTTCAGCTGATCTTTTGCCTCAGTCATTAGATGCTTTAGTTCAGCTTTTATTTGCATCTCCTCTTGGCTTAGCCGACTCTGTGCGCGAGACATTGGTAGAGTATCGTTTTTCTTCGAAGTAGAGTAGGGGGCGGGGTTTGTGGACGGGACTATGCTTGGTCGACAGGATCCTGGGAACGATGCCCTTGATGCCGGCTAGAAGTGCATGAACGAAGTCGTAGACGATGTTAAATAATCCGAGCTAGGTACTTAGAGTGCTAGGAGGCTGTACTTTCTTCCTTCAGTCCTCACTACAACTTCACACATCACATTGCATATGTACTCGCACCTAAGGTACAAGCAACATTGCGGTCCTTGAAAAGGCTTTCACCGCCTTGCTTGAAACGAATGCTACCTTGGTGGATTCAAGATCAATCTCATGAATACGAACCAATGCTTACCGAGGTTTCAATATTTGCTCTAGCTGGCTTCCACATTGCACTTTCGCACAGGGGGACGTGTCAATATTCACAAGATGTACTTTCAGCACCCTTGTGCGTGGTTTTGTTCCAGCGATCCTCCCATGAACTTATATTCGATTTGAATTACCAGCATGGTATTCCTGATTCATCCGCAGATATCCACTTTCACTGCCTCTCAACCCCGGAACCATCCTGGGGACGATGGACGCACGCAGGTTGTTGTGAACAAGCCTCTACTACTGGACAAAAGGTGAGAGTACATTTCATCCGACTTCAAATGCAAGAGACGCCTTTAAAGTGGGAACCCGAAGAGATTGAATTGCTCATGAGGAGACCACATCCATTCTTTGCGTTTGTACGATGCTTAAGTATCCAGTTTGCTTCATGTTCTTTTCCTGTCAATCTCTCGTCACCTTCCCAAATACACAAGCAACCACCGCTTCTTATGCACAGTCAATTGAGACTATCCAAAAATGGCACGAGGAGTTCTTCTCAAGACTCGTACCTTGCCCAATGCTTTTGCAGGCCGCAACGGCCGCCGCAGAGATGTGTGAGTTAATCATTTATTTCTCGGCGAACACTGAAAACTTCTAACAAACCAAAGGGTCGCCGCCTGGGATTGGGGGAGTACTTCTGTTCGTCTGACCATCTGCCCCCTACCAACGGGCGATGACGAGGATATCTTTGAAGCAGAAGTGTTGTTCAACCGAAATTCTTTGCCAACGCAAGACGGTACCCGATACGAAAAAGGTTCTTTCAGCGGGTTTATCAACATTTCTGGACGCGGAGAAGTGTACACCGGAGATGAGATAGGGCCTTCGACCACACAAGTGTCGGCCAAATTCTTCTTGGGTGATGGCTTCTCCGATACCAGAGGGGGGATCGCCACCGGTACGACATTTTCAGAGGTAAATGCTGCTCTCGCAGAAGTGAATGTCCTACGTCAGCAGATATTGGAACGACAAGGAGACCCCGATTTCATGAGGAGGGGAAATCTGGGCGTGAAGCAGATACTCACTGCTGTCCTACTTCGGTTGGAATCCGAATGTCACAGGAAAAACAAGCCTTTGAGGGTTGTGGACATTGGCCTATCCGTTCCTGCTCACTGGACTCTCAGAGAGCACGAAAGGTACAGGGAACTTATCGAGGAAGTCCTCTCCAATGACTCCCAGCATGGGAGTACCCCCACCATGCTGACCAGTCGGTCTTTCAACCTCGACGATATCAACGACCACATCCATTTCCATACAGAAGCAGAGGCGATGGCTCACTTCCTCTGTTCGGATGAGGACATCGCGAATAAGACTTTAGGCAGGAACGTTAGCCAGTATGTGCTTTTCATTGACTTTGGTGGATCTAGCACGGTAAGTTTCATCTGGTATCGCTCTCGTCTGCTTGGCTAGCATGCTAACGATCGAAGAATATCTGCCTTTTCTTCGTGAGAAGACGGGCAGGTAGAACGGCTCTTTTCAAAGCAGGAAACTCAATTGGTAAGTAAAGAGACGATATAGGTCGTTTTTGTAAGATCTTGAGGATAACCTTTATGCTGACTGCTTGCTTACCAAAAGGGATGGTTGGGGGCTCGTCTATGCTGGAGACGTCCGTTGGCAACTTCTGCGTCGATCATACGAACTTCGGTGGCAACCAGCCCACATCGAGCGAGCATACGTCATTGCTTCGGAATGAGTTTCTGAGAGCATTCCGTTGGAGATTGATAGCTGATGGGCTCAGGAATCCTTTCCGCGAAGAGTCTGCTAGCACGTTCGAAGCCATGTACCAGAAAGACATGGATCTGAGCATCGACCGGCCAGAGAATTATCCCTCAACTTCCCTACGGTTCCATGTGACCATACCAGCCGCGAATCTCAATCAGATGTTCCATCAAGCCTTTTTCTTACCCTTGTACCAAGCCTGCGAGGGGATAAAAGGCCTCAAGAAGACACTCGAGACGGCTCCGAAAGGCACTCGCGGTCGAATCGTTGTTTCCGGGGGCGGTGCTAAGAACCAGAGTGTCAAACACTATCTGTTCACGGCTACCAATGAGATCTTCGAAAGCATGTCACCTCCGCCTATTATCTTCCTGGACTGTCTACCCGAGACCCCCTGGGAGTGAGTTAATCCGTATTTCAAGACCTATGTCCGATGTGGCCGAAACAAGAACTTTGTACTGATACTTTGGACTATGCAGATCTTTCAACACTGCTAAAGGGGCAGCAATAGCAACTGCCAAAGCTAACCTCTCAGTTGCATCTTATATCACGAAAGGGGCTGCATTCGGAATCCAGGTTCAGAGAGGCCCTGGCCTAAAGAGCGAGGCTGAGTGGGACAACGAAGCTAGTGTGATCCTGGGAAAGACTGTAAGTTACTTCTTATAGGCCAACGCATAATTGCTTTGGATTCTTCACATTGCGGTTCCGCTTACCAAAACGCATTCCCAGCGTAACGGCTTGATGAAATCACAGTATCACAAATACAAAACAGACGGGACAAACAGGTTCAGGATTGTGTGCGACCCATTTAGGGGTTCCCTTTCGAAGTCGAGATCAGGTCATCAAGCCAAGCAGTATCTGAGCTGCAAAAATACCTATGACTTCCTTGACTTATTAATGCCCTCTGAAGGGCAATGGCAGTTTCGGCTTTCTCTCCCGGAGAATCAAAGCTCTATGCACGAGCATCTGATCTTTGAGAGGTGCATGGTAGAGGGAACGACCCCACTGGAAGAGACCTACCAGAGAATCACACTGATGGTCTTCTTTGACCGACCAACGGCGACGTTTTTAGTTCGGCCTGATCGGGAACTCGAAGATTTGCATTTCGGACTCGGACTGACACCAAGTGGGGAATTTGTGACGGTCACAGAGGAGGTTGAGATGTACTGGACAGACGTGGTGGAACGAAGGAGGGATGCGATAGTGTCCCAGGGAAAGTGTATTAGCTCTAGCATTAAACACCAGGATTCGGATGGACTTGTGGAATTAAGCTCAGAAGACGAGGATCGAGATCAAAAACAGTATGTCAAATTAGGAGAGCGCGATGGATTCAGATAGAAGAGTAGGCTGGTCTGCCTTATTGTTTTCTTTTCGCGTCTTTCATTTGCTACTAGTCTGTTACCCACTGAACATACCGAGAATGCCGGCCATAAAAGCTCATGCTCAAACACAAATCGATGCTACGCTGGAGACATCATTGATAGACATGTGCAAATCAGGAAGCAGGGAGATCATATCTGATGGTATCATTGACTTCACAAAGATAAAGAATGTACAAGAAGGATTTTTGAAGACACAATGCAACCATACATATGTATTCATCTTTGAACGACTGGCTCATAACAACGGAGCCAATCTCTATAGCTGTAATCGCAAATGAAAGCACCGTATAGCACCTAGAGCGTGTACATGAAGTCAGGGCGCTTGTCTCCGGCAACCCATCTCTGCTCGTCAGTCATGCCAGCCCACTGGGCATCCATCTTGCCGGCTCTGCGGCGGCTGTTGGATACTCTAAGCGCGAAGTGCATGAAAATAGACCCACCGAGGAGGAAAAGAATCTGGTAGCCCAAGACAACACCGTGGCCAGTGAGGTAACGGGGGGACTCGGCCTTGATGTAAATGTTGGAGGAGACAACACCGTTGAGGTTGCCCCATCCGACGACCATGCCCAGGACGAAGGCGCGCTTGAGAGAACCCTCGGTATTGTTGATGACCCAGGAGAGGGTGTTTGAGATGGTCGGGTAGATACCAGCGGCGCCGAGGAAGGTTCCGGCATACTGGACCTTGGGGTTGGTCGTGGAGATGAGCATGACGAATCCGACGATACCAATAGTGACAGTCGCGACGTTGCAGTATCCACGCCAGCGGGTCTTATCGGCAATGATACCAACAGTGACGGTGAGAGCGGCAGCAACGGCGTAAGGCGGAACGGAAAGCAGCTGGGCCTTGGTGCCTTGGTGACCCATGCCACGGAGAATAGTAGGCAGGAAGAGGGAGAAGGCATAGAGGGGCACGAGGCAGCCCATGTAGATGACCATGTAGCCGTACGTCTTCCAATCCGTCATGGCAGCGTAGATGTGGCGCTTGTCAAAGTCCTCGGCGGTGCGGCCCTGCTTGTCGGCGATGAGGCGGCGCTGGACGCGGATACGCTCGTCGGGAGTCAGGAATCGGGCGCCCTCGGGCCAGTCGAACACCATCCACCAGCAGAAAATTCCGACAAAGACGGTGGCCAGACCCTCAATGATGAAGATCCAGGCCCAGCCGGGCTTGCCGCCGATGCCGTCCATCTTGGCGATGGCTGCGGCGAGGAGACCGCCAAAGGAACCGGCCAGAGCGGCGGCGGAGAAGAAGACGGCAGAGCGAACACCGATTTCGGATCCCTTGTACCAACAGGAGAGGTAGTAGTTGACACCTAGTGTCTCATATTAGCCTCTGAAATTTCACAACCATAGGTTCCTGTGAGATCATGATGAAATAGCGAGCTTACCAGGGAAGAGACCAGCCTCAGCGATACCGAGGAACCAGCGGGCCGCAAGGAGACCGGAAAAGTTGGTGCACAGACCCATGAGCGTCATGATCATGCCCCAGACGATGATGATTCCAGTGAAGAAGATGCGGGGTGTGAGGCGCTTGAGCAGTGCATTGGTGGCGGGCTCGAAGACGGCGTAGCTGATGAAGAAGATGGTGAGCGACATGTTGTAGTCGGTGCCGCTCATCTTGAGGTCATCCTCCATGCCGGCGAGACGCGCATTGCCAATATTGGTTCGGTCGAGAAAGGAGAGGAGGTACTACGAAGAAATATGAAATTAGTATATCGTCAATCGTATTATGCGCGCGCAGCAGCTCATGCGCTGAGATTCTAGGAGAAGTGAGTGAGAGGGAAGATCATGTCTTACGAGGAGGGATAGCCAGGGGACCAGCCAAAGGTCGACCTTCCACATGAGCTTCTTGTCCTAGAAAGGAAAAGATGAGTTAGCATGAGTGGACTTATTTCTTCTGTCGTCTTAATGAAGCGTGGAGGAGTGAGTGAGGGCTTCACGACCTCATCACTCATAAGCCGGGTGAGGGAGCACACGTACAATGGCGGCACGCTCCTCTGCAGACTTTCCGGCGTCGGGATCGGGCAGATCAGCAAGCATCTGCGCCTGCTCGAGCTGAGAGTCGATGGGCTTCTCATCCGAGCTCTCGGCGAGCTCGTGATCTTTCTTCCCGTGGCGATCCATGGCTACGGTATTGGGACGACGGTTGTGGGTAGTGGGAAAGGTGTTCGATGTGCGAATGAGATTTGCGTATGCGCGCGAGCGCGTTGGAACCAGGTGTGTCGCTTTTCCGAGGTTTGTGTGTGGGATCCCGCAGAAAAGTTTGCTTCCCTCTTGCCTTTCGATGGTAGAAAAAAAGAAAACTCTCAATCAAGAGAGGTAGGATCCGTCGGAAAGGCAGGCGCACGAAATCTGGTACGTGGCTCGCTTAAATGGTCGGGTCACTCAGGTGTATTCACCAGTAACCGAAGCTCAGGATGAGAGCGGATGAGGGGAGAGGTTGAGCAAGACTCGAGATGTGGTGGAACGCGGCAAATGGGAGGCGTTGAAAGGAGACGGAGAGGTTAAGTGGGAGAGAGAAACACAGAGAGAGAAGATGTGTCCCAAAACAACCTGGATGAGCTTGAGGGGTAGATCCGAAGCCAACGTGGGTTGAAACCTTGAGCGCTGCTTCTTATAAATTCGACGACAACATGGGATGTAGGCGGCCGTTTCCTCTCCCTCTCTTATTCAACGACAGTCCTGCCATGCCCGGGACCCTCCGTGGCCGCCGAGTGCTACCCCCGATCCACTCACACTCACACTCACACTCTACGCAGTATACATCGCATACCCCAATGGGAAGGACGAAATTGGCTTCCCATCTGAATGGTTTCGTTGGATGGCCCGCCCCTCTCTTCCGAAGTACTGTGTAAACAACCTTCACCGTGCGGGCTTCCGACGGGAGGGCAACGGGAGTACTTCAAATTCGGTACCGGAAACCCTGTCTGCTAGTTATAGCTTCGCCGCCGCGCCGCCTACGACATGGACTAAGGCTAGATTGAGGTCTGGGAGCCTGGGAGTAGGGGGAATGTAGACTCAGGGACTGCCTCATCCGTAACTGCGGGCAGGGTTTGCAGGGCTTATTGCCTTGGGCTTCGGTACGTACTACGTAGCCATGCAGTATGCAGGTTGCTGGTCGTGGTCTTCCGCGCAGCTGGCTTGCATTTCGAGACGAAGAGAATGGCAGGGGGCTTTGAGTTAGGGATCTGAGTGGCTGGCTCTAGCTCAGAGAGCTCAGGTTGAGCACTTTGCTTGCTGCTTGTATCTCCGACGTCTCGACACTTCGAGTCGCATTTACACTAGGGAAAGGTATCCAACTTCCTCGTCCGTACGACCGATGCCTTGCCCACGCCAATGCATGCCCAGAGCTCTTGGCACTTCTCATGAGCCAACCCCGGAGCGGTTTGCTGTTAGCGATTGGCCCGCAGACTTGCGAGTCTGGGGCTAGTCTGGAAGGCAGGCTGTGGGCAGGATTGATGATGGGGGTCTCGTAATGGGAGGAAGACGGAGGAGAAAGGCGGAGAAGAGCAAGAATAAGCCAGACAGGTGAATGGCCCGTAGCCAATACGACGATGGGAGGTGGTAGAGAAAGAGGCAACTGGAGTCGACGATGTCCAGGCCGTTTGAGCAACATCAATGACTCGTCGAGCGCAGCCCTCGACTTCTTTTTCTGCCCAGCCCGAGAAGCCTGCGCTTATGCTGGCGCCAGACGCAAACACGACGGACAGTGTGCCCTAAGGATATTGCAAATTGGCCTATTGGAATGAGACCATTGCTCCTCGCTGGCAGCATATTACCTGCACGTCCCAGTATGTGACCCGAGGGATTTGTTTGTGCTACACTACTCACGGAGAGGATGTTCCCTGCAGGCTAAGGAGTGCTGGACGGCTCACGAACACCAAACGGAAACGCTAGATTGACGAGAAGGTCGAGCTGGATGCATAGAATGTTCGATTCTTCCCGTTAGCTTCATTGTATCCGAAGTATGCGAGCCCTTCAGGACGGGTGCTGCACTAAGTTCGAGCCGTCCTCCCCCAAGTTTCTTACAAGCTTCTTCTTGTCCTGATGGCCATCGCGGCGCGGGGGAGGATACGGGGAAAGGGATGGGGAACCTGTTGGAGGTCATGGTGGGCAACATGAAGACAGGGGTGAGAACATGAACAATTTTCGATGGACTTTTCCCTAGACATCATCTCTCTCCTCAGTGCCGCTATTATCCTTTTGTCATCATCGCGACCCCGTCTTCCCCTCACAAGTCTCTCCACTCAACCACCGACATTCGTGGAGGTCCCCGGACGTAATAAGCATAAGAAACAGAAAAAGTTCGGACATTGAGCGAGATAGTTGGCCAGAGACAGGGAACCAGCCTTCTCACGAACACCCCATGCCGCGCCCCTCTTTCTCTCTTCATCCCCCGCAATCCTGTTTCTAGGCAATTTTCCCCGCACGGAGAGGGAGTCGTGGAGTTTGACGAGAGCGCTCCGATTACTTTACGACTCCATTTCAGTCGAGGTCTTGGAAAGTCTTGGGAGGGGCCCGGCAGTGGAGGCGAGCTAATCAAGCTACGGCTCTTTGCCAAACTAGGGGAATTCTTGCCGACATCTGTGATCCTTCAGGCTCTTGGGGAAGACCTGTTTCCTGGTCTGCCAAGATCGTGCTAGAGAAGAGGCCAATGGGGCATCGCGTGCTTTTGACTTCTGTCGCGCTGTCATGTGCGATCAAGTCTCGTTCCATTGGGGTGGATAGTGCCCAGCCCAGCCTGTATGTATTCATTTTCATCAGCGACATGGATGATGGCGGGCCAGCGGGCTTCTTCCCGCCATTCTCATTCTCCAGTGAAGCCGAGACCGGGCAGCACACCGTGGACGTTGGTTGGAGCTTGGCGGGCGCCCAAGCTAGCTAGACGGTCTTGTGAGCAGTGAGCTTGTCGATGAGAGTCGAGCAACACGAGCTCCCCATACCGACGGAAACCAATGGAAGGGAGCGATTTTCGCTAGATAGGCCACCTTCATGAATTGTGCAAGCCACAAGTCTCTTCTCTTACCGAAAGCTCGTAACAAAGGAGGAGACCGGCGTGATCTTGGCGACTGATGCGCCCGTTTCCCCGCCCATGTCCTGGGAACAGCCGCCGTCCAGGGCACTGCGCGAAAGACGGCTGGGAAAGCGGTAGACGAGATAAGCTTTGCCGCCATTGAGACCGACTTTGACACGAACTGTGGCTCTCGAACTGGCGGCGCCGCCAGCCTGGGGCAACTTGGGGTTAGCTGGCACTGGGCAGCCTAATGGTGGCTCCCAAATGGAACAACGCGCGCTTTTTCGTTGGTCTTCTTACTTGGCGGGGAAGAAAGAATCTAGATCGCAATGTGTCAGGGCTCCTCTTCCCCGGATTTCCTGGTCAACATCAGCCCATCCCGGACTGAAGTCACAGCACCACCGAGCACCCGCAAGTTGTTCCGGGAGAGCCTTAGATTGGTGGTCAGCAATGTGCAAGTTCCAGGAAAGGCTTCGACGAAATACGCGATGTTGGATGGACCACAAAGGCTTCCGCAAGCCAAGCCAGAGAACAGGTCCCATTATCGACGTCCTCGGTGCTCTTGGCAACAGGCAGTCCGGTCCCAATAACATTCGCTGAGTATGGGTGTTATCCGATGGCACATCTCTCAACCGCATAAGCCATCTGCGAGACCACGCGACGAACGCCCATCCGAGTACGGAATGGCCCAATCCTAGTCCCAAACCATTCTCGACGAGGCGAAACCCTATTTGAACGGCCGCTTTTGAGAGGTGAGCTAGAAGATTCGTAGTCCGTTGACCGGGTATGATGTGGCAACACTGCCTCAACTCGAGAGAATCACTACAAACAGCAGTGCCGTCAAGGCAGGACAATGCCGTGGTTTCACAACGTCCCGGTCTGGTTCCGCGATCCCTTGCACTTGGTTCTCGAACAAGATCGTCTCCAGCGCCGTTCCCGCCTTAGTGGCTTGCGACCTGGCGGGCAACCTCTACAAACGACTCCCAATATCGCGGTCGAATGGAAGTGAAGAGGCTGTGACAACTTGCGCTCATAACGTTCAACTGGCATCTGAAAAAAGAGGGTCACAAGGTAGTCAGACTTGAACCGTCACATGTCTCGGTCGCAACCGGCGTAGATTGCTATTTGCTAAACAGCCACTGCCGAGGGACATCCGCGATTCGATATCGTTAATGCGGATACGGAAAAGTAAGGGTGAGAGTAAGATGAGTGGTAAAGGGTGAGATTGAGAGCGAGAGTGAGAGTGAGATTGAGGGTGAATCCGTGAGACTCAGTGAGTGTGAAGCCTGGCGGCATTGGCCGATTGTCGGTCGAACCATCTTGCGCTTCTCACCTACTTCGTGTGAGAATGTGTATATTCTCCTCCTGTCTCTCTCCCTACATCTACCTCGATTTCATCCCATCCAAACTCTGTGTTCGAGTAGGTGACACAGACCGAGCGGCGGTGCGGTTTCATTTCCATGGCCTCGGAGCGACATGTCCTGTCCTGCATACAGTATGCGGCGAAAAGCAAATAACTCTTTTTTCTTTTCTCCTTCTCCTTACAGTCGTCCCAACGTTTTCTCCAGGATCTTACTCCCGCCACTGCCGCCGTGAAAATGAAGAAAAAGGAGAAGTCGGACACAGTACGAGATCTTCGGACGAGTTTCGTCCCAGTTGGTTGGTGCAAGATTTCTCTGCAAAGCCCCATCTCGGGCGTTATTCCCACATGAGCCATCTTGTGCGAGACGGCTTGCGGCCGAAAACGTGTTGTTTGCTTCCTTCTTGCATATGCTGCTGCAACACCACGGAGCCGTGTATGGTCAATATTCCGCCTGTTTACATGTGCTCTTATTCGACCGGCAACGATGATCCCGAAAATGCCTCGAGGAGGTACCAAGGGGATGGGAAGACCGGAAGAAGCATCTCTTCGATAAGAATTTGCCTACCAAGAACGCAAGCTGTGAAAGATGCAACCTTGTTTCAGGGTCGTAGAGAAGGATGAGGTCGCCCCGAATATCAAATTGTTTGCTAGAGGCACCCGACGCGCGGCATGCCCAGAGACGCTGCAGGAGGTTGAGGACTTCGTGTGAGTGAATCACCCATTGTACTTTTTACTCTGGGATCCCTCATGCTTCATCCCAAGAGATCATGTGCGTCAAATAAAACGTGGGAAGAGAGGCGATGCAGGTGTCCACGCGCATAGATCTATTGCTGCGCCTAATATGCTTCCACCCGTGCTTCCCTGCCTATGGCAAGCAAACAGTAAGTATGAATTGTGCCCAATAATGATTTGCTACATATTCCTCATGAACCTTTCCATCTGCACAGTAGACGATTCCTTGATAGAATTGCTACCCCTGCTGTCCTTCCCAGCGGGCCAAGCGGCGCAGCTCGCACAGCAGACCCGTTAGACCTCACCGCCACGGGCCCATTCATCTCGACTGTCCAGAGGTATTCTTCGTCGCCCTGAAAATCTCCTTTCCAAAGATCCAATCGCCAAATGCAGCAAACCAAACACCACAAACGCCAGCTCAATTCCAAAATCCCCGGCCGTCTCGACGGTCGGCCCGATCCACCACATTTGCGCCATGCAGGGAACGAGGACGCCGAGGCAAGAGAAGCACGACCAAACGCAGCCACGCTTCGCGGCAGCTTCGCGGCGTTGTCCCAGGAGTCTGGATCCTACCTCGCGCAGTTGACGCCACAGAACCAGAGGTCGTCGACGAGCACCACAGTCCACGGTCCACGGTTCACATTGAGGGATGCCACAGACCAATACCTAATGAGAGGGACGAAGGTCTCCAGACTCTCAATGAAATCTGCGGTGTCACGAATTTCAACGAGGCTTGCCACCGATGTCATCATCGGCGCATACGCGTCGTAAGAGATATTTGCGGACCTTCGGGAAAAGTATGAGAGGAGGAGCTGGAAGTTGATGGTTATGGTGTACCCCTTTGCTGCGATGTTGCCGAAGAGCGTGGATGAGAGGACTATGCTTTCGAACTTACTGAGACCTCCTGCTGGACCGACCATAGCTGATATCACCCTGTGGACTGTTTCGTTCTCGTAGACAGTTTCGAATCGAGGCGCGCTGGGGACTGTTCCTTAAATAGCTGCGCTGAGGATTATGAGGAGGATCGCATGAACAGGGTGATCTGCGTAGGTGTACCAGGAGATACTCAGCCGTCGCTTGTTCCTTAGCAGGCTGGTTAGGTCGTCGTCAGAAGCGCAGAGAACGTGATAGCTAAAGCCGAGTCCCTCACAGCAAGCCCGGACGTTGCGCCTCGCATCTCGAAGGTGAATCTACCTCCTATGTCACCGATAAACTCTTCGCGTCGCTAGAAAGACGAGTTGAGGATAACGCCCTGTTAGATAGGCACTCACAGGAGCATGTTCGCGTTCATCACCACCACGAGGTCAAGACATTGACTGTCTTCTTAATGACAAGCTAGTCCACGAGAATCAGGGCGGCGCCTCGCACTTAAATGTTCCGGCCGAATGTGACTCGACGATAAGGGATGCCTTTGCAGCTCTTTCACTCTCCTCTCTGCGCATCTAGGATAGAAACTTCGCTCTCCGTATCGCGCTTCGTTGTGGCGAGAGGATGACTCTGGAGAAATCATTCCATTGAGCCCATTCTGCTATGAAAGCTCGATCATACTTGTGATCGTCGTGGATTAGAGGTTCTGCAAGATGGTCGTCACTTTTTGACGAGGTCAGAGCCGACAGGTCTTTTGGTCATCCTTGAAGGCCAAGTCTATCATTGCATAAAGGTGGTGTTGAACCCGATCGCGCAGGGGCTTGATAATGACAGCCATATGATTGACTTGGACAAACTACATGTAGAGGTGAAGGTTTTCTTCGCCAAAATGTTACAAGTGGGAGCCGGTCGCTAAGAAGCCATCAGCCTCGGCCCTTAGAAGCCGCACCTCGCATCTCTGGACAAGATGAAAAACAGGCAAAAGACATTGTCAAATATCTCAAGGTCCTAGCCTCCGATATATCGGACCTCCTAGCGGCCACGAGCCCATGGTAGCCTATCACTAACCTTGAAACTTGGCACCCCGGATATGCGCCGGAAACATCACCGCAAGCCGGCCCTGAAGTCCCCACGAGCCGAACCCACACAGATCCACCGTTCAAGAGCCTCTCTGCCAATGTGCCAGTCCGCTTACCTAGCAGGCCTAGCAATAGATTACATCAATGACTGCCCAGGCTAACTAATGCGAACCGTCCATAGCCTAAGAAACGGGGACTGGCCCCTCTGACTTCTCGGATGACCGTGCCGCGGCAGACCCGCCGCTGTTCGCCTTTTCCGAAACCGGCGCCGAAATATTTTGGCCGATTTCTGGGTCTGCGTGGGGTCCAAAATGTCATCGGTCAAGATTTTTCGTAGGCCGAGGTGGTATGAGTATTTCGCCAGCAGGGGGACCGCAAGGGGCATTTCTTCCTTTTGTTCTCAATCTTTCCCTCCGCCAAGAGAACCACAAGTCCGTTGAGCCGTCCGTACGGTTCAATCACGGCCTCCACTTCCCCGATCTGCGGCCTCCGACTTGCGCCCCACGATGGGTGAACCTAAAACCGATGGCCCCGGTGCCGAGACCGGCGTTGCGGCTGCTTCGAACCCCCAACCCGGACAGGAGAACCTCGTGCTTCCGCTGGAAGGGAATGCACCAACGGAGCCCTATAGCATCTTTTCTCGCACAGAGAAGTGGTTCATTGTCGCAATGGTCGCCGTTGCGGGATTCTATAGGTAAGTAAGGTCTTTCCGTGCCTCACATTGCCTACCCTGACATTCGGCGTAGCCCGCTGCCGGCAAACATTTACCTACCTGCTATCCCGAAGATATCAGAAGCATTCGGCAAGTCTGTCGAGCTTCTGAACTTGACAGTGACAGCCTTTCTGGCGACTCAGGGCGTGTGTAAGTAAAAGACGACCTGCAAAAAATTGCCCCATGATATCCACCCTACCAGCTATTCAGTGAATGAATACGACCTAACACTTATACCTGAATAGCTCCGATGCTATGGGGACCCCTCTCCGACCGCTACGGGAGGAGGCCAGTCTTCCTAGTCTGCTTGACCATTTTGATCGGAGCGTGTATAGGAATAGCCGTGATTCCTACAGACGCTTTCTGGCTCTTGATCGTCCTCCGATGCTTGCAGGCTGCAGGTTGCGCTAGCACAATCGCTCTTGGTAACACCTCCTTTTCTTCATATCACCCTATGTGCGACGCTAATCAATTGATTATCAGGTGCGGGTGTCATCGGGGACATTTCGACTCCCGAGGAGAGGGGAGGATTCTTCGGCACGTTCAATCTGGGCCCTATGGTACGTTTGGCCAACTATTGGAGCTTTGCGAAAGGTACCTTACTCTATCATGGTACTAACACTATCAGCTTTCACCCTGTATTGCTCCGGCGATTGGTGGTGCACTTTCTGATAAACTTGGCTGGCGCTCCATTTTCTGGTTCCAGGTCATCATGGCTGTTTGCTGCCTTCTCTTCATCCTTTTGTAAGTCACGCCTTGTTAATGAAACAAACCCTCGCCCTTCTTTTCTTCCTCGAGACCGTGCGCTGACGGCTACCCATCTCTATAGGTTCCTCCCGGAGACTCTTCGCAACCTCGTCGGCAACGGAAGTGTCTCTCTTGGTGGAGTATACACCCCTCTTCTACCCGTAGTAGGTAGATCTCGAAGGAAGAATAAGATCCAGGGCAACAAGCCCGGCGTCAAACGATCAATCAACCCTTTTGTCATCCTCGTATATCCCGACGTCGCTATAACCCTTACATTCACGGGCGTTGTTTACGCAGTCAACAACACCGTTGTCACGACGGTTGCCTCTTCTTTTGCTAAAGTCTATCCTTGGTTGTCCGAAACCGCCCTCGGTCTGTGCTACCTGCCCACGGGATTCGGCATGATCGTTGGCAGCACTCTCACCGGCAAGTTCCTCGATTGGGATTATGCTCGTATTAAGAAAAAGGTTGAGGAATCCGATGGCGCTATCTTGTTCCCTAAGGAGTATGCACGTTTAAGGACCATGCCCGTGTTACTGGTTCTTTTCTCCGGAGCTGTCATAGCATGGGGCTTTTGCGTCGACCGAGGGGTTCATATCGCTGTTCCTCTCGTCCTTCAGATTGTCTGTAAGTTAACCTCATGAGCTGCATGTCCTTGATAAAGTCGCGATCCCACAGCTGACGCTTCTAGTGGGGTATACATCGATTGCTATTCTCAACACAACCATGACTCTGATGATCGATATTCTACAAACTAGGAGCTCGGCTGCGACAGCATGTGTAAGTAACTTGCTCTGAAGAACTTTGCCAGAACTTGGAAATGCTAATGTTGTCACAGACGAACCTCGTACGCTGCTTACTGGCAGCCCTCTTGGTGGGTCTCATCGACAGGATGACGGCTGCCTTGCGCATCAGTTGGAGTTATGTTCTACTTGGCGGCGTTTGTGCTCTACTCCTACCCCTCATGTATATAGAAATGAGGGTCGGGCCAAAGTGGAGAATGAGGCGAGACTTGAAGTCCGTGGATGACTAGAGACAGTGTTTGGCTTTGATATCCATGCCTCATTTACGTACCTCGATACGGCACAAAAGGCCATCAATACTTCTACCAACAGTTATGCTAGTGCCCAACCAAAAATCGCATTTGATATCGCATCCTCCACATATAGACACTACAACAGCCTACTTAGAACTCAGATCCAGAAGATTGCCGTTTTAAATTTCCTCGCTACCATCCATTATCGAAGGCTTCGCGAGTGACCTGCAAGACCAACCGTCGTATTTGTTCTCAATACCAAGAGTAAAATAATAAGCATAAATCTCCATAGGCTAGGCAAGTGGCAATGCTGCATATCATGCCAGTGATTGCTCTCACACGTGCGCCCCTATAGAAGCCACCAATTACCACAGCTTATACCCATGTTGCCAGGCGCCACCCCTATACAGCCCCAGTTACAGCTAAAATAGCAAATATTTAAGGCTTTTTAAGGATGTTTAATGTACTTGCCAGTCTGAATGTGCCGTAACACAACGCGGACGGGCCCTGGGTTGCGCTTTGTACCTGTTCCTCTATGTGTGAAAACAGCCTCTACAACTTGAAGAATAAGCCTTATTGCTTGTATCAGTTTCCAATATCAGTGAGTTTCAAGCCTGCAACTGGAACATAGAATAAACTGTTCGTTTATATGGCAGTAAGTTCGCTTTTACCGCTTTTACTACTGCGGCATCCCTTGTACTTTGACCTCAATACAATTTAACCCTCAGTACTTCACTTGCGGCAACACCCTCAATTCCTTTCCTTTTGGGAGGCACACTCCAAAAAGCCTAAGTACGTAGAAGATTATGGGCTGAAGCAGGATTAAGTAAGAATAAAACGATTGTATTAGCTAGCAAACTTTCTTTCCCTCCTCTCAGTCCAATCCGCGGATTAAGCGCCGTTCAGAAAAGATGCCGTAGGGAAAACGCTGAATATCGCAGTTGTTCAAAGGCTGTCACTTAACCCAAAATATTAAAAGGCAAGATTAACATCGTCACTGTCATCCTCTGAAGGGGCTAGCGAATACTCGGTTCCCAATTCGAGTGACGACGGGGTGTGCTCGCCTCGTTCTCGTAATGAGCTACTTCTTGTCTCCATCGATCTTGTTGGAGGCGTCCCTGGATGACTGATAGGCTCGTAATCGGAATCAGAACTGCTATCATGGGTGTTACCAATAACTGAAATCTGTGCACCTGAGATTCTTTCGTTTTGCCCCTGTGATGAATCGCAGCTTGCCGCTGAAGGTGGTCGAAAAGCACGGAGATGACCAGTGGGCTTCCATCCGGGTTGTCGCCTCTTCGTCCGTGGCGACGTTTCCGATACCTGTATTTGGCGTTTGCGAGGCGGACGATGGTTCTGTGTGATTCTCTTCAGGCCTCTCAGCTGTTCCTTCACGGAGTCCACAGTGCAGGATGTAAGCGTTCCCTCTTCACTGAGTCGAAGACCACGACCTTCATCATCCACATCCGTGTCGAGCAAGAAACAATTTGAAGAATTTTCGAAATACATGGGACAGGAGAAAGGAGCCTCAGATCTCATGACTGTACGTGCCTTTTTGCTGGTCCCCAAATAGTCTCTTTGCAGCGAAAGGATCATGGCATCGCCGTCGTAGGCAATTGAATGAGTGAAACGCCAATAGCCTCTTTTGGGTGGAGGGAGCTCGAGGACATCGTAGCTCAGTGATGCCGTAAGCTCCTCTCTGCGTTCTGAGACTTGTAAGAACGGATCACACACGATCTTGAGCCATTTCTTCCCAGAACACCATATTGTGAAAGGATAAGACTTCGTCTGTATAGCAAATATATCAGCCTTCAATCCCCAGTAGAGACAAGTGAAATACTTTCAGTCACAACTCGAAGCTCTGCATCAATGACATCTGACAAAGTAAATTTGGACATACTGCATCAGCGGTGACTTCGATCTCTTCTTGCCAAAAGATTGCCTGTTTCGCGACGGCTGACTGATTTCTCTTCCATGCCGAGCCACCATCCTTCTTCAAGTGCCCAACTTGGATTCCGAATGCTGCCCCTCTTTCCATGAACTCAAGGCCCGTCATGGTAGTCGCCGTGGCAATTGCCGCTCCTTTGGAGATATTCCATGAACTACAGCGTAAGTCAGCAAATATGACGTTTGAGAGAAGCTCTGGAACAGCTATCATTACTCCTTATCTCCCGCCTTTTCGTGGAAAAAGAAGGGATCTTCGATTTTGGCCTTCCTGCACGCCTCCCAGATGTAGGCCTGGACGATGGAGCTTTTGCCGCTTCCGCCGGAAACTACAACTCGTACCCTGTTGCTGAGAGTTGCCGCCTCAGCAATTTTCTCCTTTGCCAACTCGATGGGTCGTTTCATCCCATCCAAAAAGCAGCCCTCGGCTTCTTCTTCCGAAAGATACACCGTCAGCGATCTCCTTGCATTCTGCGGATCTGTGACATGCAGCGACATCTCCTTGATCTTGTCCGAGCGTAACTTCTTGATATGCAGATGAAAGTTTTGAAGAAGCTGCGTCCGCTCTCTTGGAGGTAACTTGGATTTCAGCTTCTTTTCCAAGTATTCTATTGCAAATTTCCCGAAGGCTTGCTCCCACAGTTCAGTGCCGCCCCTTGTGCCTGGGCGAACAAGATTTAGCCACGGCTGTTCCACAGCAGCACAAACAGAGACAATCGAAGCACCGACTTACAGAATGTGTCGCCAACTCTATAGTAGCTAAACACCTGTTTCTTGCCCTGTACAACAGTAAACATGCAGCCGTTCTGATGGATGTTTGTCAGTATCATCTCATACCGGGCGCGGCTTCGGATGTGGGGAGCAAGGTGTCTACATTCTTACCAAAGTGTAGCCGCCAAAGTCCAAGAAGACTAAAAGTGCAGGTTTGTCGGATATTCGAAGAATCTCATTGTGAAGGCGTTGGTTCCAGAATAAGTTATGTGCTGAAGCTAGACTTTCCACGTGGAAGTCCACATCTGTGTCGGTCGTAAAAATATCAGGGAAATCAGACATGACTCTCCTAATGATGTCTTCGTAGAAGGTTCGCTCCTCGTGCCCCCAGAATGCTGGGTAGGACAGCCCAACCCGAAGGATCTTGACCTCGCTGAGCACACGACCGTGCAAATACCCTCCTTGACAGTAACTTTGTACTTGCTGAAGAACAGCTCTGGCGATGGCGTCCATTCCCTCGTCAATGAGCTCTTGGGAGCTCCTGATTCCCCCCCTGTTCAGATTCTTATTGATAGCCTTGAAACTATTGATGGCGGCGGAATTGCTGCTGAAAAGTTCCTTGGAGGGGGTAGGAATTCGACTATCGTCCATTCTTTCACCAAGGTACACATCGCCCTTTCCGTCTAGATACAGAGCCGAGTTGAAGGCACCCTTTTGGTATCGCTCATCGTGCCCAGGATGAGATCCTGTGTTGAATATATCTTGTAGAATCCGCTCTCTACCTTGGAAAGTGAGTAGACTGACTCTGATTGCGGTGCTGCCCCAATCCCAGCCCAATATCCTGTGATCATCTTGTCAGAGGTATGTAAAGTAGTCACAATCTCATACGTATTCGTTCGGTAGTTTAGGACAAGAGCTCTTGTCACCTACGCTGAATGAATCTCTGGAGATTCCATATCGTCATAGAGGATACAATCGTCCGATATTTGGAAACTTGACGATAGAAAGTGTGAATCCAAATGCTGGATCAGAAACGAAGGGAGGTTGATGTGATCTGAGTTAACTGTTGAGGTCTCTAAAGCGGAGAAAAGTTAAGAGTGTAGCATATCAAGCAATATAGTTCGAATCAGCACTGCGATGTCAAAGCTTACAATTGTGCAATTGAATATGGATATATATGATAGTTTCTGATGAAGGATTCATTGTGAGAATTAGAGGGACCAGCAGAAAACGTTGAGAACTTGTCATGTTTGCAAGACAATGCAGCAAAGCTTTTGATTGTTTTCCATGGGATCAGCAGCATAGACTATAAGGGAATCCTAATTTCAGACAAACAGATTAAATGTTTGCACGCAAAATTGCATGGCGTAAGCGCTTTCGAAGTCTCGAGATCATTAGTGAGGAACGTCCTTGCAGCTATTGTTTTCTCTTTGGTCTTATCTGCTTACGACATGTTTGCTTACCTTCTCGCGAAAATAAGCGAATGCCCTGAAAATTCATTGACGACATTTGTTTGCGCGCGGCGGGCTGCATTATCAATATCGGTTGCGTGTAGTGAGGTGCAAACACAAGAAAAGTTAAGGCAAGCCTTAATTCTTGCTTGTCTGATCTTAAGGTACTTATATCATCTGCACTTTGAGTTTCCAAACCCTTCCTGAATGTGTCGCAAGAGAAACACCTCGCAGGTCTTGCCCCTATCAGTACATCCTCTTCGCCACCCGTCGTAAGACAAAACCTGCCTATTCATCATGGATGCTGACCTGTCGATGACACCTTCAATCTCTCGGAACGCCGCAGAATATGTTCAAAAGCTGACACAACACTACAACACTCACCTCGAGGGGGAACTGAATCGGGGAATGAAAAAGCTCGTCAATCAATACGAAACCTTCAGGGAAAGAATGCGGGATAAACTCGTGTCCGAAACGCCAAGCCGATTTCCCTCTGATGAGAAAGGGTCTATCGTTGCTCAAATTGAGAGAACCTTTCTCTGCAACGTCAGCAATTTCTCTCTCGAACAGAGTCAAGGGCTTTTCTTCTCTGCCTTGGAGTATGCCCCCTCAAAGCGACCGATGTTCACTACACCGCCTGAACTTCGTCAGCCTAGTGAAACTTCGATAGTGGTATTTAATCCGACTCTTTGGCCTGTTCTCCCCTTCATACCACTCACAATCAAGATAGTCATCAGACGGGCTTTCTTCAGAAAAGACTGAAAAGACCACAGAGCCTCACTTGGAATCTCGGAATCCTTCCCCCCAAGTGCCTAGTCATGACCGTCTAGACTTGAATAAGGGACGCAGGCGGAATCATAGCCTTGAGAACTTGGAAGATACACAGACACATAGATCATCCCCTGCGTCATCGACCAAGGAGCCGCTCCAAAGAACGATTCCCAAGAGCGGCCGTCAGAAGCTTATATTGAAGAAACAGAACAACAAGCGCTTCCAACGTTCTAGACAGAAGAATGTAGCATGCACCTTGACGTCGTCAATCACAGTATACTACCCCAAGAACTTTGTCTTTTCTTACACACTCAATGACGACACAAGTTTCTACATTCTTTCTTGCCCAAAGATGAGCAAAGGCTGCCATGATCCAATCTTCAATAGTGATCCCTTTGAAGATGGTCTAGCAACTACGCACTTCAAGAATTGCGGCATCGCTTTTACCAGCGACGACGAGATTGTTCGTACATACGCTCGGCGAGGTCAGTGAACGGGTACTTGGTCTCTTTAATGTGTTCATTTGATCTCACATATCAATGCTACGTAGTCAAATCGCCACGGAACGCCCCAGTCAAGCAGAGCTGGGTGAGGGAACACAACGACAGACTGAAAGCCGGAAAACCATCAAGTCCGCAGAGTAGGTCTAGTACTTTGGCATTTCAGATTCACGCTCAAGACTCACTCAAATACAATACAGACCCTGCCCAGATCAGTACCTGTCATGGTATCCCCGTATGCGGGAAGGAGACGAAGGGCAAACCTGGCGGGACTGAAGGTAATAAAGACTCTAGCTTCGAGCCTGAATCAGACAATCACAGAGACGAGTTGGCTATAGGGTCAGATGATGGCACGGATTGAAACCCGACTGGACCGCTTCATCAATATGTATATAGCAATTCTTTGTCTCTTAGCTTCCAGGAAACTTTAGTAGACCAAAACCCTGGGTACGGAGAACCATTCGTTCAACATAATTCTAGGCTTACCGGGTATCTGTTACAAATAAGACATATCTTCAAAAGCTTATATAGGGTTTCCAACTTTTCTAAACGATCATCTTCTACGTGCGTTTTTTAGACGACTAGGAAGTGGCAACGGTCTATGACATTTAACCCAGGTCGTATGTAGTGCTGGGCTCTGTGAACACGTGCACCAGTGGCGTCGTAGCTCGCTCATGATACGCCCGGTCGGGGTTCTGAGCGGTCGGCCTGCCCGCACTGACTGTCACTCATCTAGTCCAAGGAAAATCATATGATGTCTTGGTTTGTCCAATCAGCATTTCTAGAAGTTGCTGCACACTTATCCAAGAGTATCACTTGTGTTGTACTACATAGATCTTGCATTTGTGGCTTTCATTCGAAGCAATTATTTTGCAAGGAGCGGCATTTGATAACCAATAGCCCAGCAGGATGTCGTCAAGAAAAGGACCTTGCAGGAGCATTGCAGCATCACCTGACGCACTAAGTCTGCCTTGTTCAGAAGGAATGAATCCGAGTCGAGCTGCCAATATAAAAACGTCGTAGTTCTCCTATAAACCCATTCCGACTTAGCTCTCCACCCAGCCTCGAAAACAGTCCTCATTTTGGTAGCATCGCCAAGACATCCAGAAGGTTTCCTAAACCATCCGCCCTCCCCGAACTGCCTGCTCCACTTCAATAATCTGACACCAACTCTCTAATATAATCAACACTCCCTTAAGCACATTAGATATTGTGGCACACTCTGTCCTCTCATTATACCCTGCCTCAACGGAATCACTCATTTCCCGGAGCAGGTCAAGATTCGATGGGAGGGCCAGGAGATGTAGCTTCTAGCGCCGTTCTACAATATTATTTCGCGAATTCCTTTTGCGACTTTAAAACAGGACAGGTAATGCCTTCATTTTGCTATGAATCAATTGATGTTCAGGTTTTATATGGATACTCCATCAGAAGGCTTATCTTTCGCCATGGAAACTTGTTTTACGTCAGGATTATTTACGACAATTATATTGCGCATACCTCCCAGTTTATTAAGTCAACATACCCACTTCCTGGCACCCCCCTGTTTCTGGCACCCACAAAAACGCGAAAATCCACCACAACCCAATGCCCACCCCCAACCTCCTTTTATCACAACATTTTCAATTCGCGTCCAAATGGGCTCATCTTTTGCACATGTCTTCTTCTATATATAATGCCTCAATATACCGAAGATCAGCTTCGTCAGGCTCTCGAGGA